TCCTTCGATCCTTCGATCCTTCGTTCCTTCGTTCCTTCGATCCTTCGTTCCTTCGTTCCTTCGTTCCTTCGATCCTTCGTTCCTTCGTTCCTTCGTTCCTTCGTTCCTTCGTTCCTTCGTTCCTTCGATCCTTCGATCCTTCGATCCTTCGTTCCTTCGTTCCTTCGTTCCTCCGATCCTCCGTTCCTTCGATCCTTCGTTCCTTCGATCCTCCGTTCCTCCGTTCCTCCGTTCCTCCGTTCCTTCGATCGTTCGTTCCTCCGTTCCTTCGATCCTTCGTTCCTTCGATCCTCCGTTCCTCCGTTCCTCCGTTCCTCCGTTCCTCCGATCCTCCGATCCTCCGATCCTCCGATCCTTCGATCCTTCAAAAATCCCCACCCAAAGTCGCTCCCCATCCCCACCAAAACCCTCCACCTCCCACCCAAGTCCCCCCGTCCTTCCCAAGTCCCCTTGTTCCCCCCTCCCTTCCAGTTCCCCAAATCCCCACCTCCCCCCGGCAAATAATACTTCCAAGCGTTATTAACTTGCTCTCTTTTATTTCCAGTTTTTCCCTCATTCATTTTATTTATTTTATTCTCCTCTTTTTTAAGTGTAGTTCTTACCATCCAGCTTCCTCCTGCTAGTTTAACTTTCTAGGCTTTTTAGTTTGCCTATTTTTTTTATGTTATACAACTTACAGTATTTTCCTTAGCCACTAAAAGCAAAGCCAGCTGCTGTTGCCTGCGCTTGCTTTGCTACCTCTCGTATAGGAGGTTGTGGATATGACTACAGTCAGCATTAGAGAACTACTTTCTTATGATCTACTTGGTCTGTCTCCTGTCTTCAGTGTAAAGAAGCAGTCAACTGAAGAGTTTGTTACGCCAAGGCTTAAGAGGAAGTGAAAATAATCGTGCTCTTTTTAATACTTTCTAGAGAATCCCTTGGCCTGGGTGTCGTGTAAATGTGCCTAGGAGAACATCGCCCCCTCCATTATTACTTTTCTTCATGGTTTCTGAATTGTTTTTTGTAATTTTTTATTTTTTCTTTATATTTATATAATGATAAATTATAATTCATATTCCAGTTTGCATGTATTTATTACTTATTACTTTATTCTATTTAAAAATATTGTTAAGCTAACTAACAAACAAAACCAACCCCACCTTAGTTTGAAGTTTTAAGTGAGTTAGATTTTGAAACAACCAAGTTGACCTACTGAAAAGCTCTTTGGGATCCCATCACATCTCCTCTGAAAAAAAAAAAAAAAAAACAATGGAAGTTTGTAATACACATTATATGCGCAGGAGCTTATGCTGACCTGTGTGGTAGTCATGTCCTGTATTTTAACTTTGTATTTTAAAACTGCCTTAATGTTTGTTCAAGACCAGACATGCTGCGCTACTGCTAGACACCGAAACTTCCTAATGCTTTTTGAAATCGTAATTATGTAACGATTTAACTCTGTGCAAGAAAGGTTGTGTTACAATTAAGTATCCTGTTGTCCATTTCCAACACTCAAGTTGACTGAGGCCCACACAGTCAATCAGCTGACAGCAAAGCCTGCTGCACTGGCTGCTGCTTTCAGTTAGAAAACCCTTCCAGCCTTCCTGTAACGTGTTCTGTTATGCATCCGATTTAGGTCTACATCCAGAGACTGTTCTTGGATGGAGCACAGTGGAACAGAGAAACTAAAAAGCAAGGAGATTATCATCCAAAAACCCTCTGCCATACGGTGCCTGTGGAGAGTGAGTATTACAATTTGTAACATTCCTGTAGTATTGTGTCTGAACAAATCCTGTGGAGGGAATACCTAAGTGGCTACCTTTAAGGGAGCAACAGGGTAACTCAAAAGTTAGTAGCGTTGAAGGAAGGGAGGAAAAGAACAGCAGCAACGATCTATGAAGGAAACCTTATTCTAGTATGACATCAGAATACAAGATAACACAATATAATACAGTTTAATTGTAATTGAGACTAATAAATCAGACAAGATGTGAGATTGAGTTCCTGGGACTGAGTCAAACCTGAAAAGCTTGGAATGACTAGGAAAGCACCTCCAGCACCCACCGCAAGGCAGTAAGATCTCCCCCCCCCACCCAAAAGGGCTAGACCCTGTGACTTCTGTCATGTGCAAGGATAGGTACCTGGTCTTGGGGCATTAACGCACCGTACACTACCTCATGTTTTGATGTGGAATGCTGAAATGCTAAAAAATAAAAAACGTAAAACCATGACAAGCATCTACAAGTAACAACGGTATGTTTGGCGTTGCCGATTTTGTTCAAGGAAGCCATCTGCTAAGACAAGATTCAACGAAAAGCAGGTTTTCAGGCTCATCTGCCAAAAAACCAACATCGCTCTCAAAAATACTTAGGCCCAACTGAGAATGTTTCTCACCCTTCCTTCCCCCCATTTATTTATTTATTTATTTATAATGTGAAAAGGGTTATTATTCTTTGCTGCAGATATTGCTAAAGCCTTGTAAGAAAGCAGACGTTCCGCAACCACGCAGTTACCTGGCTCTAGTGTACAAGACCAGCGAGAGAAGAATCCTGTCAACCACCGGCCATTCCACCGACTTTGTCACTGCGAGGACCCTTCCTTCCAACAAACCGCAGGAACACTGAATCAAACGCTATTTTGTCAGCTTATTTCACAAACCTACTGCAATTACTGAGGGTTCCTTTACTAGATCACCCGTGAGGAACACGTGTCGGTCCTGAATGGCTGCAATATCAAAAGGTAAGTCAATATGCATATAAAAGTACTCACGAAAAAGCAAAAACCATTTTGCACGTTGCAATTCGTGATGTATAAAATACAGGATTGCACATTAAAACCTCATGAAAGCCAGCAGGAGCATCTGCTCCTGCATTTGATCTTTCCAGCTTTGTAAAATTGAAAAAGTAATAATGATAACAAAAAGACCGATAGCTCGGCTGTATCTTATAGGATCATAATCACGTTAGAAACCATAGACTCAACCGTTGACAGAAGATTTTTTTATTAAAAAAAAAAAAACATATAAATAATCACGCTGAGTCTAGCAACAACAGTATTACTAAGCATAATCACAGCAGATCGAGTGCAATGTGATCTACATCGAAATTCGTATGGGATGTCACACTGTGACAGCATTTTAATACACAAATAACATGCCCTAAAATAAAAGTTAGCTCAGACTCTGGATTTGGCAGAGTGGAATGTACAAACCAAGCAGAACTGTAGTGGAATTCAGATTGTCTGTAACGTGACTTATAAGTGTACCTGCGAACAATCTGAATTTCAGTATCGGTGGAAAACCTACAGACGAAGTCACTGGTGTCACACTGGCCTTCGTAAGTTGTAATAAACATGTTACAAAAGTAATTATTTATTACAAAGTTGTAATAAATAAATACAAGATGAAAGACAAGCAACAGATGTATTTAATGAAAAAAATCCAGTACCTGCCTTGATGGATCGTGTTTTCCCTTATCTGAAAACTGTCTCAAAAGGAAGCTGAGTATTTTCCTATGCTGGCAGCGTATTAAGCTGGAACCGTACTCCAACCAGTACCAAAGCAAAAATGCTACCTGACATAATTTTTCATTTGAAACTTGTTAAAAGAAATAAACTTACTGAAAAACAAATTGACCAAAACTTTCGTTAGACCACATGGCCCCTTTACACTTGACAGAGTTGAGAAAAAAATTGCAATTAAGCATCAGTTCGGTAAACAGGCAACAGAAGTTATCGAAGCTAAGATCCTCAGTAATTATCCCATCACTGAAGTCCCTTAGAAAATAGTACTCAGGGATGCACTGTGAGCACCGAGTAAACATGTGTCACCTAGGCACTTAGTGCTGCACAAATTTAGCAAACCAAAGCTTGTAACACCACACTTGCTGAGCTGGGTCCGACGGTAAATCTTTTTGGAGAGGAAAACTAATGAGCTGATGAGTTCTCAGCATCAAGTGACCGTGTGTCTCAACTCTGTGTTTCGGCTTCTTCACCAAAGAAACGGCGTTATTATTTCAATCTGACCCTTAAGCCTACTTCCGTGATTACGAGTGGAACTACAGAATCGACTTGTGCTCCTCAACAACTCAGAGCATTTTTCGTTAATGACATAACAGTACAAGAAGAACTCGCTCCTGTGTGGCAGAATAACCATCTCAGCAAAATCTGAGTCGGGACATGCTCCCAGCATGTCAAGGCCAAAAACTTTCAATCTATCCTTACAAATTAAGTCATTTGCTTTTTAATAATAATAAAAAAAAATACTAAAATCCAAAAACAAAACATGCAAACAAACTAATTTACGCTAGAAGTAGAAATCCTCTTAGCCTCAACCACAGAAACTGTTGGTGCCGCTACAACTGATATTGAGGCACTATAGAAACGGAGTACAGTAAGTAACCCTGCATGAACGTGGTGTATTTTAGCCTTTGTGCCCTCGTTCATTAACTAGCATGTTTGTTGTACTTCAACCTAGGAGAAAACATTCCAATTGCATTTTCCTGCTATATCTAAGAACAAACACCAAACCTATTTTAGTCAAGAAAACACCGTCAAAGTGATCCTCGACAGGACATCGTAGCGCTTTGCGGCACATATTGCAACGGCCTGCCTTCTTACACTTGAAGTTAAAAAGAGGGAGTGCAGCTCACTGTTTCGGCTTTCTCTTTTTCCTAATATTTAAGGCAGCACAGTGGTTTCCACTCATCTGTTTTCATTATGATTTAATACTTCAGCTGACCACTTTGCAGAGGAACCAGCGCTACTCACGCAAATGCCTACATACACACAGATAAAAGAAGATACATATATAAATGTATATGTGTACATATATACGTATATATGCCTGCTGCTTAAGACTTACGCGGTACTGAAAGCGTACTCAGGTTCCTTTCATAGGTACGATTTTCAGCTGTAAAATTTTCTGGGTTCTGGTAAACCACGCAAGAAATTCTTTTTTCCTAAGCATGTACATCCTTCGCTGTCTTTTTTTATATAAGCAAGCAGCACGCTGAACTTAGCATTTATTTCTGGAATTTACTTTTTCCCAATTGCCACTCAGTGGAGTTTAGAAGATGCTTTTGGGCCATCTCATCTGATTTGAATCGGAAAACGCAGTAGATAATACACACAGAAATGAATTGGATGTACTTTCCTAAGTAGTGCAAACTGCTGCTTCTCCTCTAAGCTATGTGCATACAGTGAAACAGTGCAGACTCCAAGTCGTACAGTAATAACAGGGTATCCGCAGCGAAACCCGGCATACGGTCAGAACTGGATGTTAAGCACAATTTCACCTTCGTAGAGGGCAATCACCAGCATGATGGCAAATCCAAGAAGCAGGCCTAGGTTCTGCATAATAAACCACCCCGCTGGACAATAACTGTGCTCTTATCTCCGTCTCCGTGAAGCATTTCTTGAAGCTAAAAAGAAAAGCCATTAAAATGAAGTTATTTCACATCTATTCTATTTAATCACTGGCATTTTTACAAGGTGATATTAATGGATAAAGAATAAGCAATTGAGGTTTTAGTTATAAAAACAAGCCACTAATGCATACTTGAAAGTATACCCAATTACTGTATTTTAGAAAAACGGTCTCAAACACGTCCTGTATTTACTAGACCAAGTGAAAACTCTTTTCCAGTGGGCGCTCCTACGGCTCTTCCTGGATTGTGCGTCTAGCTGAACTTCCAATATCAGGGGCCAGTCCGGTATTCTCTCGGTCTGCTCTTTCAAGTTTGTTTAATCAATTAAAAGTAGCCACGTGGCTCTAAAGACTCGGTCCTCTAACTCAGCCCTTTGTCTTGTTGTATGCGTTACGTATATTCACGCAGGTCTGAGAATAGCGAGCTTCATCATGCACGCCACAGGTAATTCAGGAAGAATTTCACAGACGTCTATAGAAAGCTCTGAAAGCTGTGCCTGTTACTCAACTGCAAGGAAAACATCAAATAGTACTGACAAAAGCGCTAAGTAAACGCAGACGTAGAAGACGTAAAAATAAATCTTCCAAAACACCTTACAGGACCACCAGGCAAGACTAAGGTAACTTAAAGGATTTCCTTTGTTTACCGTATGTTTCTATCAATTCATTTATCCGTAAACGATTTTGAGAGTAAAACGAAACATTACCCAGATCAAACATATAAACTTCAATCAGTAGAGAACAAATCCTTTATTGTAGCTCTTTGTAAAATAGGCTATAACTGTTCTGGCTATTCCAAGTATCTGAATAAGGTACAACAAACATAAACAAATTACCAGACCATCAGATCAGCTAAAATGATTCATTTATTGCCTGTTTGCTCTTGCCTTATCGTATTTCACAAAGATACATAAACTGACAATTCGATCTAACGAAATTTTAAACGTAGAAAATACACACACCAGTATGTAAATTGCTCATCTCTGCTACAGATTACTGAACTTCTCAATTTACAGGCTCTCGATAGGACCTATTCCAGTGTCCGGGCATTAAGACTAGTCAACACAAACACGTCTCACAGTTGAGAATTTATAGTTTCTTGCAGAGATGTGAGAAACAAGGAAAACAACTTTTTTTATAATATGTATGTTACATAACTATATATTATAAATTACTTATGTATAAAATTCATTCAAAAATACGTAATATGAAGTATAAAATACATATAGTTTTACAATAAGAATAGAGTTCATGTCATCTTGACTTAAGTGACAGCAGAAGGTCATGGAGAGCCTTAAGGATTGAAGATTCCCTGAGTTGAGTTCAAGTTCTACCTCCTCTCAACTAAGAGAAAACTATATTTTAGAAACAGAAATATACCTAATTAGATGAACTTCCATCATACGCAGGAATACCGGAAGGTCAGTCGCCCCTTAGTAGACTTCAGCTGACCTACAAAACTATTAAATACCGTTCCTGTTAGGTGTCAGAAAACAGGGACTTAGAGAGGAAGGCAGATTAAGGCGTCGTAAAAACACGAACACGGTGATGTTTCAGGTGTATCTCGCAGAGGTGCTCCTGCTCTTGTTTAGAGTTAAACTGTATTGAATGCTAGCGTGCCTAAGAAAAAGGACCGAGAGTAAAAACTTTGCCTTCCTTTATACATTCTTCAGTCGAAGTACATCAAGGAAAAAAAAGCATGAGCACAGAACTTACAGGAAACTAGCTGGTATCCAGTAACTATAGGCTATTGCAAGACATCTGTATCTGCACGAGGAGTTATTCTCTACTAAGCAGCCATTTGCCTCTGCGAGACAAGCACAGGTTTCGATATGATAAGCTAGCACCCGAGAAAAAACTGCAACTGCAGCTATCTACTAGCTATCGGGAGGAGTATCATGACAGAAATTACACACACGCATTTATTCGGTCTTTTATAGGAAGTACTGGTTTCATAAAATTCATTACCTAATTCATGGGGCAGCTTGTGACAAAATGCTGCTATATATGTACTAATTCCTCCTGTCAGACCAGCCCTAAAAGCTGCTCCTGAAAGAAAAAAGAAAGAAAAGATACAAATCCTATGTTACTGTATAATCAATGCATGTACAGATGTTGTAATTATGAAATATATCACAGCATTTGGCTAAGCAGCTATTATACACCAAAAAAGAATAGATAGAATGCTTACCTGTATCCTGGGCTTGCTATGAAACTCCAGAGAAGGAGATCTCCAGAAGAGATCCTTCCCTGCTGGTAGTCAGCTCTTAAATAGGTCTAGGAGAGGTGGAGCCAGGCTCCACTGGTGAATTGCCTTCACCTGTGCTCCCGTGGCTGACTCATTGCTCTCTTCAGGGGATCAGTAGGAGGCTCAGGCTGTGATTCAGCAGTTCCCAGACAGTTACTATTCTCTAATCAGCAAATTTTATCAACAGACTCATCACCTTTTCTTGAAACACACTTCTTGATTGCACCGGAAGTACCCTGGTGGGCATTAACGCTGTGTATATTATTACCTAGCTCAACCCAACAGCAGAACCTGAAAAAAGAATGTGAAACAGAGACAGAAAGGCAAGAGAGGAAAACTGCACCACTGTTTACTTTGCTTAGTTTTTTTTTTTTTTTTTTTTTTTTTCCCCAGCATAGGAGGAGGAATGACACAACAACCGGACTCACAGTACATTAATTAAAAGTACTGCGTATGTACTGTTATTAACAAAATAATATTACAAATATTTACAATCCTAAGCAAATATAATCCTAAAGAATTTCTTGTTTCTTACTCTAAAGTAAATACTGAGACCCAAACAACCAACGTGCGTGTTTTGGGTATTCCTCAATCCCTAAGGAGTTTTCTCTGTGCCTATCTCAATTAGACAGAGATCGCTACTGTCGCTGATATCAAGATAGTAATCTCGGTGGAAACAGACAATAGAGCAGAGATTATCAGAGCTGATGACCTTTTAATGCCTGCAGTGATTTAACAGTGCCGCTAGCCTTGGGAGACAGGGAGATCTGCCCTGTGATCGCTTATAAAATACTACCCAAGTTACTCAAGGTAAGAAACTGCCGAGAAACGCTGATTGGTTTTGCTTACCTATTGCTAAGCCATCGCTGAAGTTGTGAATGCCACCTCCCGTGATTACCGTCTGTATAATCAAAGAATAGTAGCACGTTATGATTACAAAATAAACAAGAGAGTTAGGCAAAGTAGACTATGAAAACAAAAGAGAATAAATGGAGGGCTTACCCCTATGCTGGGCTCACCACAAAACACCAGTAGAGGCGATCTCCGGAAGTGATCCTTCCCTTCTGGTAGCCAGCCCTTAAATAGGTCTAGGAGGGGTGGAGCCTGGCTGCACCCCTTCGGCAGCACAGCTGAATTGCCTTCACCTGTGCTCCTCTGGCTGACTCATGGCTCGCCGCAGGTGATCAATCAGAGGTTCGGGCTGTGACTCAGCAGTTCCCATACACCGAGACTCTCCATTAAGTTTATCGACAGAAATTATTTTCGCTTGGCCTTCTCAGCCAAACGGTAACTGGTCAGAGACTGGAATCTCTGAAATGTCACAGATTATACTCCTTCGGGCCACGCGTGTTAGTTTACACCTGGGCTGAGCTAGCTTCACTGGAAAACTCCTCCCAGAACCAGAGAGTCACGGCCGCCCGAAACCCTGACTGCCTCAGAAGTCTGAGAACCGCTAGCGGGGCGTATCAGGAAGCATTTGCAGCGCTCTCAGATCTTAGAAAAACAAAATATATAACGCAGGGAAAGCCTAACGAGTCTTATTAACAGCGTAACAGCAGCGCAACTGCACGAGAGGTGACGTGCTACGTGCCAGAAGTTACGTGTCGTTACTGCGAATCTCACAGTCAGAAAAAAACACCGAAAATAAATGCCTACCTGCAAGGGGTTGGAGCTGAAGCCAGTCAGCATCTGGTCTCTTATTTAGTTTCTGATCTGAAGGTTTCCTTCCAATTGGCCGTGCTTCGCTCTGTTTAGTCTCGCACCATTTCTGCTTACTCTGCAACAGGAAAGATTTAATGTCTGATTTATAGAGGGACGTTAGTGCAAATAAAATACATTGAAATACTGCCAAAAATCTTAGAAAAGACACACGATTTCACTTTTTTTAACGGAGTACAATGTGACGAAGAATGCTGTGACAGCCAAGAAACACACGTATGCTCATCGTACTTGCTTCATTCCAGACAACAGGCATATAGCAAGAACAGCCCCTGTTCTGTTCAATTTTAAATCATCGACTCCTGCAACTTCCTCATATTTTCCATTAGATAACAGTCTGCCACTTTCCTGTCTGCAGCCCGTACGACAGCCAGCGTGGATTTGCCAAAGCAGCCTAAGGGATTTAACTGATTGCCCCCGTAGGCAACGGACGTGGTGTCCAGAGGGGAACAGCAGAAGCTTGTTTTCTAAGGGCTGTGTTATCAGCAAATCCGTCTCTTTGCAGTCTCCCTTACGCTGGATTCTGCACAACTCGCCCCTTCCTCAGGTCTTGCATTATTAATTAAGTTGAAAAGTCATCCCTGTCTCTTTTTCAGATTGGGCAGTATGGGGTGCAGAGGAAAATAGATGCCTTTGGTTTTTTTTTTTCCTAATTGAAATGTCACAGGCTTTTGCTACTGATGTCCTTGTTTATGTGTGTGTGGAGAGTTTAATAGGCTGTCCTTTGCCTCCCAGCAGACCCGGTTCTTTTCTGTTCCCTCACTCGGTGCTTTCCAGCCAATAGAAGAAGTTTTAGACCAGATGAACTTTGGGATGGAGACTGTCCCTCCTCCATTCTTACGATGGACTCTTTATTGACCTCCCTGGGGAAGCATCCGATCAGGGGGATCTTCCACCCACCCTGCAAGAAAAGAGGTGGTGGATGAGGGATCCGCATGGGCACAGAGGGAAACACAAGCATAGCAAGGAGGCAATGGGCTGGTTGGTTTCCTCTTGCTCTGACCAAGCTGTCAGTTCATGGTGTGAACAGAAAGCTCCTGATTTTCTATCAGGTGTCCTATGTGTGAGCAGTGAGCGTGAGGACCTCGGGAAGGTTAGGGAACCCAACACCTGCACCACAGTGCTGCTGGTTCAGGGAAATTCGGCCCCGTGGGACTGCTGCTCCCCCCTCTTCATCCCTTCCTCAAGCTGGTGTGTGCCGTTTGCAGGCAGGTTTCCTTTGGCCTCTGCCCTCCTGCTGTTTTTCCCTCTCAACGTGAGTATGAATGTGCTGTGGTCTCATGGAGCTGGAAGCTGAGTCTGGGCAGAGGAGGTGGCTGGGGACCCCACAGAGGCCGTTCTTCTTCCCGGGCAACCACAGTGACCTCTGCTGTCACCAGGCAAGTCTGAGCACTTGTGCTCTGCTGCAGAGGAGAGGTTTTATTCCAGCTTACCCTGGAGGTCCTCTATAATGTACTGGGCACTGTACCTTGCAGAAATTCTCATTTGTGGTCATGTCCCATATGCTGCTTGTATTGAAAAATGCAGCTCCTGGTATTTGAAGAAAAGCCTCCAGCTGTGCTGGAATGTGGCAGTGTCCTCAGAGGCCCCTCCGTTAGCCCTTAGCAGCAGCCCCAGCCTCCTGCCACAAATGAGGCAGGGGAGGAAATGAGTTTGCAGTGATGTGTTTTTCAGACGTGGTGAAGCCTGCGCTGGTGGCAGCCACAAGAAGAGCTGTCTGGTGGTTTCCAGGGCTGTCTGCGCTCAGAGAAAGGTAGAAATCTGAAGTTTCTCTTGTTAGCAGTAGTATAGAAATGTCCCGGACAAGCAACAAGCACAACCCCAGGGCTTCAGGGCCGTTTCTACTTCTACGAGCTGCTACAGTGCAGCTTGTCGCTTCTTTGGCAAGGACCCTGGCCTGGAAATCGGGAGGTTGGGATGTATTTGGCAGCTCTGGCATCGGCTTGCTGAGAGGCTCAGACAGCTTTTACCTGCCCCCTACTTTCAATACAAAGTCCCTTTGGTTCTAACCCTCGCCCCGACCCTTATTCCTCAAAATTAGTCCCAAGATACCGTTTGAAAGTACAATATTCAAATAATAGCTTCTAAAATATCTCCTCTCCTCCTCTTTTTTCTTTGTTAACAGCTGTAGAGTATTTCTAATGTGACGGGAAACATCCTCCGTTGTTTCTCCTCTATATTTGACTGAAATGAAGCTGCCCGCCTGCGCAGTGGTACCCACCTCTGCTATTCTGGGCCCTGTGCAATTTGGAGAGTGACAACTTACCTTAACTATTGCAGCATCGACCGCTTCACCAAGTTCTCCCGGGCGTTGCGGTCCCTGCTTCCTGCCACGGCTCCTGATTCCTGCATGGAAACCATCAGCAATACCAAGCGGGTGGAGAGGGCGGCCTTTCATAGAATCGTAGCCTTCAGGTAAGGCTGATTTGTCTCTATTTAGTGTTACGCCATATTAAGCACGGATTCATTAACTGCAGTTCATTTTCCTTGGCTTGACAGGACTCTGGGGTGCCACAACTCTTGTTTGAAACGAACCACCACTGTGGCATTCCGCGCAGCTGATGACAGGGAAGCTCAAACCTGGCAACTGCTACCTTAAAAAGTAATAGAAGAAGGAAACAAAACCCCTGGAAAACTGTGCATACCTAGCAAAGGAGGAGCAATGGGCATGCAAACAACACGGTAAACTGCTTCATAGGGCACCCAATTAAGTGATACAAAGAAAGCATCCAGCCCGTGTGTTTCCCAGCTCCTGCAGTGCTGCATGGACCGTGAGTGTGCACAGGAAGGTGTCTGAACACCTTCACGTGCCAGCGAGGCTTGGCACCTAATGCCTTCAGCCGTGGTTCAGCTGCCGGGGAAGGAGTGGCAGTGCTGTGCTCCCCAGCTCGGTGTGAACCTGAAGGAGAGAGGCAGAGAAACGGAGGAGGCAGGTTCTATAGGGCATGTGGTGAAAGAGATCGGCTGGCTTGTCGTGCAGCGCAGCCCTCCTGCCCTCCCCAGTCCTGCTCCCTGTCTTGCCAGGAGTGCACTCGGGTAGAAAGGTCTGAAAAATCGGGGCAGTTTCTATTCTATGGGAACAAAAGGTTTCCTTTGTTGTAATTCCTCTGTTCGGCTCTGCACAGGGCTCTCGCGTGGGGCCCTGCAACACGTGTCCTGCATAATGGGGACAAAAGCAGATTACTGCGGGGATGCCTGAAAGGGAGCCGTGACTTGTTCCCTTGGTGCTACGATCTTGTTTACAGGCTGAGCTTTGCAGGGAGCAATTCATACAGGCTTCTTTTGCATTATAATAGCAAAGATTTTTCTTGGCAGAAAAAAAAAAGCACAAAATAGGGGAGAGGGTGAGGTGAGGATTTATCACAGAGATGAACATAGCCTTGCCTGAAACAATTTATGCTGTTTAGGCCGTTTATGCTAAGTGAAACGACCAGTTCCTGCTTCCCAAACGTTGCCTCCCAGTGCCGTGGGCCTGATTCAGCGCAGCAGCTTGATGTGAAGGGTTGGGGGTTCGGAGGCAGCCTTAGACTCATTTTGCTGCTGGCCCACGATAGGAAGGAGCAGGGTGCGGGGCCAGCAGCTGGGCTCTGCTAAGACTGGGCTGCTGCACATCTCCCCTTGGTGTTGGTAATGTTTTTTTTGGCAAACACTTGGGAAAAATTATCACATTTAACTCACGTTTAATACCTCTTTTGCTTCTGCAGTCCTCTGGCTACCTGCTCGTGCTCTCGGCACCTCTGCTTCCACTCTGGGGGCCTCCAGCAACTGCCACTGTGTTGTACACAGCAGAAACATCGGGGTGAGTATGCGCAACTGTTTGGCACCACGGTGTGTTGGCTGTCCCCCGAAGTGAGGGGCCATTCAGGTTAATCTCTCACACCCCCGTCGTGTGGTGATGTCCATCTCATGTGTTCTCCATCTGCCTGTGTTTCTGCGTGGTTGCTGAGTAAGGAGCAAAGGCTTGAGATGTTGGGTGGCTTGGCCTTCTTTCTGGGAAGCCTTCAAACTCAGTTTTGCTGAAGGA